GCTTAGAATGTGCAATACCCTGGGTTCAATCCCTAGCAACACATACACATAAAGACAAAAGTGAATTCAGCGGGTATCCTCAAAGCCTTTATTAGTATAGTAAATTTAATCAGACAGTGAAAAGCTACAACGGATATGCATAAACATGAAGCACCCAGTGTTTAACTGAAACAATTATCTCATTTTGGACATATATAATTACATGTATGACTTTCATTTATGAAGGAATCAAACCAATGAGGCTGTGTTGCAAAAACTCGATACTTCTGGTTGTCCTAACCAGCAGCCTTGATAGATCCAGTCCCCTATGTCACAAAACACCAGGCAGCCTTGCCAATGAGGCCCATCAAACCCAGAAAACAAATTTATACATCCAGGACTCCCCAGGCACAACGTAAAGAATGAACTCAAAACAGGCTTTAGGAATCACACTCTTCTAGAGAAGCAGAAAACAGGGCTTGGGAAAGTCCAATTTCAAGTCAGACCGGTTTGGATGGCAATTTTGCCTCTTCTGCTGACTAGCTAGCTAATATGTGCAAATTATTTTTGCGCCCCATCTGACATGTACATGAGAAATAAGGAAAATATCTACCTTGGAGAAAGGCTGTGAGCACACATGCATACGTGTGAATAAATAATTTGCCACAGCATCTGGTATGCAGAAAGGTCCAATAGGCATAGCACTGTGAGAATTACAGAGCAGACTATACAAAAGAAAGACTGCACCCAAAACTTGACTCTGATGAGAACAACCCCCAAAACAAATGTCTTTATGTAAAAACCTTAATTCAAAGTGTTAACAAATTTCCAAGAGCCTGGTCCATTTAACCCAATAAATAATTTTCTGTTAATTCCCAAACCTGAAATGTTTAACTGATAAACATCTCTTTAGATAGAAAAGTCCTTGGTCCCGGTTTTCATAGCCACAGACAGAACTGCCTCCCAAATTCCTATCTCTGAAGAAATGTATAAACTCTAACGAGAAACGAGACCCAATCTTTGAGTAAATCACTAACACATTCACTGCTCCATATAAAGAAAAAAGTCTCAAAAATATAAAAAATTAAATCTAGATCAAGCATAGTAGCTCATGCCAGCAATCCTAGAACCTAGGAAGCTAAGGCAGGGTATTGCTACAAGTTCCAGGCCAGCCTAGGATACATAGTGAGTTAGTTCCAAGCTAACCTGGACTAAAAATGAGACCCTATCTAAAAACAAAAAATAAAAATCCAAATGCCAAAAGTGTGAATAATCAAAAAAATATCAATGTTGAGTTTCAGATTGGAAGCAGAGTGGATACTCTACAGAGAGCTGAAATGCTGACTATTGTTCCACTCCACTTGGATCCAACACCGGGCCATGTACTCTTCTTCTGAGTCACATCTCCAGCTCTAAATATTGTCTTTTGATGGCATTATTGTCCTAACAGACACAATTATCAGACGGTAAGCAACCTCTGACATTTTCTCTTCTCCTCTGTCAAGGAATTTGATGTTGCCAAGAATAAAACCTTAAGATCTAAAATTATCTGATTCTGAGTGAAATCTTTTCTAGTCAGGAAACAACTAAATACTTCAAATCTTGCTGCTTTTGTACTAAAGTTAAGGATTATATAAAAGATCTCCCTCCTGTTTCAGATCTATGCAAGTTGATTGCTTTGTTCACTGTAAATGCCTCATGCTATTATCTGACATCAATTTGTTATACTGGAGTATCACACTCTCACATTAACTGCCAAAAAATGCAATTTTATATTAGCACACCTTCAAAAAGCCAAACACTAAAAATTCTACTAAAATAAACCCACCAAAACTGTCAAAATGGAAGAAGGAAAAAGATGAAATTTTAAGCAGGTAAGAAAATATTCCCATGCTTGATTCTTTACAAATTTTCTACCAGATTATTTCTTAGCTATACCTCAACTTCCTATTATTAAGAAAACTGAAATGCAAATTCTACTGAAAGGCTAACTTCCAACAATTCAACTGTGGCTGAGAATCTCTCATAGATTTTTAGCCACTGTGAAGAAACGGGTTGGGGGGAAATGCATACTGATAGGAATTTCTCCACCTCTGTAGTTAAGGTTTGTAGTATAAGAATACTGCACCTCTGAAACAGAAAATGCCCCATAAAGTCTGGTTCTTCTCAAATGTAGAATATCTGGAACAGAATACATTTAATTCGCAATCAGTCAACCTTCTATTATTTCTGTGAGATGGCGCTTCAACTTCTCTCAATAGAAACCTTTCCTTTATAAAACCCCAGGGAGCAGAGTAGATGTCTGTGACTTAAATAACTCCAAGAACATATAATGGTAGATTTAATTAGGACCCTTGCATAAACAAAAAAAGAATCAAAACCATGGAGGGGGGGCTTTAAGAAGTCCCTAGTCTTTAATAAATTATAAGACTGAGCAATGACAAAAGCAATGCTCCCATTGGAAGGGATTTTATTTCTGAATAATTTTTCTAATACATCAAGTTATTTTTATTTAAAAAATTAGGCTTAGGGACTATGCTAAATCAACACAATAAGAACAGCAAACTGTTTCTATTTCTACCTATCAAATGAAGCATTGCACTGATTATGTTTAAAAGGCAAGCCAACTCAAAAGGATTTGATGCCCTTTCCAAGAGAGAAGCCCTCTTCCCAAGTACTCAGAAATGGCGGATTATTAATCACTCTTGGAATGGTTAACTTTATTTAGTATGCCTCTTTTGGAGTTCTATTCTTTAATGCAGCCAAATGGTATTTTTCTCCCTAATTAGGTTCCCCTGTACTTGTGCAATGCCCAGCACACACAATGTTGGCAGCGTTAGTTCTACAGCTTCTCTCTTCTGGCTCCTTCTCCCCTCACCTACCCTCTTTACCCTCCCATTCCCCCCCAAAAAAGATTTCCTTCCCAAATGTTCTCCTCTCTGCATTTGTCAACAGAAACACCCACTGGTGGTGTCAAACTGGTAATACTGCTGCAGGCTTCCTTACTCCCGTTCTAGCATCAATGCCAAAAAAAAAAAATGCTCCAACCTAAAATAGTACTTTTAATAAAGAATTGAAAATGCTTCCTAGGTACTCAAATACCATCTTCTCGGAAAGATGGAGGCCTTTTATGTTTTTATTATTAATGAATCCTAGTTGGGTTGTTAAATGTAAGATCATACTCTCCCTTTCAACACCAGATAAACAGGGATAAGGAAACATAGCCTCTTCACATTTTAAGAAAATATTTTAAAAGAATTAAAAATGAATTTACATTTAAATATTAGGCACTTTGTAATTCCAAAGTGTCACCGGTAAAAATCTCTCCCCTCTCTCTCTCTCTCTCTCTCTCTCTCTCTCTCTCTCTCTCTCTCTCTCTCTCCTCCTCTCTCTCTCTTCTCTCTCTCCCCTCTCTCTCTTCTCTCTCTCCCTCTATCTCTCCCTCTCTCTCTCTTCTCTCTCTCCCTCACTCTCCCTCTCCCTCTCTCTCTCCTCTCTCTCCCTCTCTCCTCTCTCTCCCCCTCTCTCCCCCTCTCTCTCCTCTCCTCTCTCCCCCCCTCTCTCCCTCTCTCCCCCCCTCTCCCTCCCTCTCTCTCCTCTCCTCTCTCTCCCCCTCTCTCTCATCTCTCTCTCTCCCTCTCTCCTCTCTCTCTCTCTCTCTCTCTCCCTCTCCCTCTCCCTCTCCCTCTTTGTAACCCTACAGCAAGAAAGAAATTAGCTGGAAGTGTTCCAGCAGATGTTACCTAAAACCCTAATCCTATACATATTTATGCCTCCTGTTTTCACTCAAATGCTCTCAGACAAATTAATTTGTGTAATCTTTTATATTGCCTACATAACCATTACATTCAAACAAGCCTAAATCAGATGCGCGGAAAGAAATTATTCTGTGTCAATACTTTCTAAAATCAGCTTAAATTTCAGCCAATTAAAAATAAATTGTGTTAACAGAATATTGATCTGCAACTATTTAAATATCACAGCATCCTTCTAGTCTGTCCGGAGAGATACTAAGGTCAGGCTTTTCTTATTCAAGCATCTGTGCCATACCACTCAAGTGAAGCGAAAAAACAAAACCCTCAAGAAAGATCTGCTTTAACACTGAAATCTGCCCAGGTTATTTTTTACCCCAACGTGGGCACAAAAAAAGAAGAAGGAGGAGGAGGAGGAGGAAGAGGAGGAGGAGGAGAAGAGGAGGAGGAGGAGGAGAGAGAGAGAGAGAGAGAGAGAGAGAGAGAGAGAGAGAGAGAGAGAGAGAGAGAGAGAGAGAGAGAGAGAGAGGAGAAAAAGAAAAGAAAGAAGAAAAAAAAAACCGGGTCAATTTGAGAAAGACCTGTTCATTTTGGCAGACGGTTCCAAACCCCAGGATTCAATTTCTATGAAGGTCCAAAGGGTAGGAAGGTCTGAGAAGGGGTCAATTTCTGCTTCCCTGCCAGCACGCCAGCCGTGAACTTCACAGCAACGCCTGAAAAACTTGTCCCGAGGAAGGTGGCGGAAACCTGCGGGGCTGCAGGCAGGGCGCTCGCCCACCCTCCCGGGCAGCCAAGGTCAGAAGGACCGGGGTTCTGAGTCGCAGCTGCTGGCGGGTCTGGGCTCTTTAGGAACTTGGGCGGGGGTTTGGAGCTCTTTTCAGTGCTAGCGCAAAAGGGTTTCCCCTCGTTGCAAGCCCCGGAGAGCCGTGGCCACGGGAATAGTGGGGTGGGGACACCGCAGACCTGCAGCAGAGGGGAGCCCCGCCGGGTCCAGCCTCGACTCAATGTCCCTCTAGCATAGCCCCTCTGTCTCCCAGCTCCAAAAATCGCAGTCCCAGCCCTACCGGGAAGCCCCTTGGGACGCGTGGTGGGTCGTCTAGAGAGACTCCAGCTTGGGACGCCCTCGGCTTGTCGCCCCGTTGTGGAGGGACCGGTGCCGGTGCCCCTTCTGTCACTCTCTTGAGTGGACCAACTGAGTTCTCTCTAAGGACAAACTGGTGGACACACCGCCAATGTGAGACGACCTGACGGGCGGACGCAACTACTCACCGTGCCGAGTCTCCCACCTCTCTTGGGGAACTAGGGAAGCCTCCACTCCCGCGGCAGCCGTCACCGCTTTACCTTCCTTAGCGGCAGAGACAAGTAATCGAAACCTCCGGCCCCGCCCTCTTGCCGGAGCAAACGCGCAGCCTAATTTGCTGTTTACCACTCCCGGTCTGCCCATTCGAGCCAATGGACAAGTACCTCTCATCCCGCTAGGTCCCGCCTTGGCCCCGCCTACTTCTGATAGGCGCCAATGAAGAGAAAGCGCTCGTGCTCGGGTTCGGGCTCGAGCGCCCCGCCCACGCTGCTCGTTCTCGAATCCCCAAAATCCTAGAACGCGGGTTTCTTGTACTTGCTCTCTGCTACACGAACGCGCTTATGCGCGCTCGCGACGCTCCTCCTGGCGCACCAGGTTTGGTTGCTCAGCCAGGCTATCGCAACCTGGGCTGCGAGGATGGAAGGGGCGGTGCTGGAGCTGGGAGTTTACTTGGCGAGGGGGAAGTGAGGGAGGAATGGAGGGGGCGCGGAATCGTGACAGAGAGGGGTGGGTGCGAGGGTTGAGGCGGGGTAAGGAGGCCCGGGAATCCACCTGTCACTGCGGTGGAAAAAGAAAGGGGGAATCCTGCCTGCAGCGCAGTTATCCTCGCCTCCCTCCCTGGAGACCCGTGCGCGGAGTGGGCGGAGGGCGGGGAGCATATTTCGGGCGGGAGCCCGGCACTGCTTGAAAATAAAGGACGAAGGGTTGGCTCATCTCGGTCCTTGGTTTAGAAAAAAAAATGATAACAGAGTCTATTGCTGCTCCTTAACTGTTGCAGCCGTGCGTGCACGCGCCCACAAACACATTCTTATGCACGTTCATCTAGCAGCCTGCGATCCCCTGGGGTGACTTTAAGAGCAAAGAACTGGCAGCAAGAGGATTCCTTACACAGCAACTGGACGTGTGCAAACCGCGGCGGCAGCGGCTGCGGCATCAACCCACAACTCTACTCCGGTCCGATGCTCTGCTTTACAAGATTCCCCAGCTGGTAAAAAAAAAAAAAAAAAAAAAAAAAAAAAAAAAGCAATGAAGTCATTGTCGGGCCAGTAGAAATATAAAAATCTTAATAACCACTGTGGATCAGGTTTTCGATGAGAATGAATAGGGGATGAGATACAGATATAGTCCCAGTGCACTTTAAAAAAATGAAAAAAAGAAGAAATGATTTTGTTAAAGACATTGCAGACAAATCTATGGAAAGCTGCATGATGATCCTGAAACACTTTTTAAAAGAAGAGAGTAAGGATAAGGGTTTTCTGGGGTTTAGGAAGGGACAGAAAATAGGTAGTGTATGAGGTCGAAGATGCCACCAAATAAGAAATAGCAGTTTGTAACAGGAAATAGATATCTTGGATAAAATCTATTTAATCTACTCTTGTCTTGAATCTGGTAATGACAGGTAGCTATGTAATGGATTTATCCACTCGATTCCAAGTCAATAAGATTTTCTTTTTCATAGCATGGTGAATATTTCATAAGCAATTGAAGGCATCTACTTTCTCAGGAAGCATATTAGCCAATTTTCCAGGTAGGAGCGGTGGATTAACAATGAGGTGAAAATGGAGTCAGGCTCTGCAGAGGCTCCTGCCTCCTCCAGTTGCAAAATAACAGTGCTGTGACCTCATGCTTCACTTTCAGCCACGTGGAGCCAGGATTCCTGGGACAATCGCTGCATTATCACCCCCTGTCAATGCCTTTGTACTAGAAATTTCAGTAGCATTGCCTTAGAATCAAATATAGGATGGTTTATCTGAATAGACTGAGAAGAAGGGGGGAGAAAAGCAGAATGCCAACAGATTTAAGTTCCGTGTCATTTTACGTAGCTATATTACATGTTTTCCAGGGTGTGATACCATGGGCAAATGCAGCCTTTCCCTGAGGAACATTTGCTTCGATTTGGTTTTCAGCACTGGTCTGTTGCATCCACATCCAGCTCAGTTAATTCTTCTTTGGAGAGAAAACTAGACATTTTAAGTGTTTTTAAGAAATACCATGCTGTCATTTACCTGAGGTCTTTTCTTATGTTAAAAGAGCAGTAATAGTTCCCTGCGAATGCCTGCTGCTCCGTTAAAAAATTCTACAGATATTTAAGGCTGACAGAGAAAATAGAGGCTGCTTCCATAAATTTGAATTTTAGATAAACAACAAATAACTTTTGATACGTGTATTTTTATCCCAAATACATTCAGGACAAGGCTAGAAGAATGCTGAAGCCTTTTAATCCCTCTCCAAAAAGAAGCTTATGAAATGCCCTCTGTGCAAACTAAACACATGTGTAGGCTTTGTTTGGAGAAACTGAAAAATAAGTTGCTGTTTATCTGAAATTCACATTACAGTGGGTATCCTCTGTTTTTATTTGCTCCTCTGGACGACCCAATACTGTTAAACACATTATGTCTAATTCTCACATATCTCAGCAAGAGTCTCCCCACTTCCAGATGGAGAGCCAGCTTCGGAGCCTCCTCAGCATCTATTTCTTCCCTCTCCCCACTAAAGGAACCCCCACTGTTTGCAGATATCCAGCCCCTCCACACACGAAGAGGCTGAGTCCAAATTCGTCTCAGTCAATCCATATGTGGCTTGATTAGCCTAAAAGAATAAAGCTTCGCATCCCATGGTTTAAAAGAAAGATTTTCCCCCTTATACCTTCTGGATGAACAACAAACTTAAATACCCCAAATACCACAGGCAGCCATTTTGAGAGCCCCCTTAAGCCAAAGCCTACAGACTAATTAAGGTCAAGTTTACAAAAGACGCAAAGGGAAATTAAAATGTAGGTTTTTGACAACACGAACATTTATGGACTACCCATGAGGGCCTAAACTTCATGATACAGCCTGGGTCCACTGCAAGGCAAAAGAAACAACCCAATGGCTGAATTGCTAGTGTTCGTAGGCAGAAGGGCACATCAGTAAGTGCCCTGTTCAGAGTGCAAATCATGCCAAATCTTACATCGTTTTCTTCGAAGTTTATGACACATAAACAAAATAGGGTATGGTGGCACACCTGGGCAATGCCAGCACTTGAAAAGCAGAAGCAGGGGGATCACAAGTTCAAGGCCACTCACCATCTCCATAGGGAGTTCCAGGTCAGCCATGGCTATACAGGTGAGACCTTGTCTCAACAAACAAAACAAAAACTAAATATAAAGTTTGTGCTATTTAGATGTCGTTTTAGAAAATCAAGTCCAATACTTTAAGCTTTTGAAGTCTCCATCTTTGTTCTCTAAGCACTAAGTTTAGCCACAAATAGTGTGGAAAGAACATGAATGCCGGCCTCAACACCTGATGTTCTTCTAGACCTTTAACACATCATCTTAAATTGTGATCACACCTTTAAGAAAAAAATTCAAGAATCGACTTTCCTCTGAGAAGCTCAAGTTCACATTTCTGGGTGTGTCTTCTTCTTTCTCTCTTTATTTTAACATCTGTGTTTAAATTTATCTTTCAGATCTCCTTCTGGGACTGGGAAGGTGGCTCAGTATGTAAATTGCTTACTGCAATTTCTGCATCTGTTTCCATCAGTTGTTGCATGAATTCTCTTGGGTGAGGAGTATGCTAGACTCCAGTCTACAAGTATAGTAGAGCAACTTTATGGAAGATTTCATTGACTTTTTTTTTTCTATTTGCTGGTCTTATTTGGTTTCATTCTAGTTCTCTGGGCTGTCCAGACTCTGGTTCCTGGGCTTTAGGCAGTGTCAGGTGTGGGCTTCCTCTTGTGGCATGGATCTCAAGCTGGACCAGTCATTGGTCTTCTACTCCCACAAGTTCTGACCCACCTTTACCCCAGCACATCTTGCAAGCAGGACACATTGTGATTTGAAGGTTTTGTGGCTGGGTTGGTGTCCCAGTTCCTCCACTAGAAGTCTTGCCTGCTTATAAGAGATGGCCAGTTTAGGATCCATATTCCCCAATACTGGGAGTCTTCAAAAGAGTCACCATGGTGGATTTCTGGGAGTTTCCCTTGCAATGGGTTTCTACCTCACCTCCAAAATGCCCCCTAATTCCAGTCATCTATCCTAGTACTCTCACTCTCCACTACCCTACCTGATCCCCCCGGTTTCCATCCTCACCCACTCCCAGGCCACCTGAGAAATCTCTCCTATTTCCCCTTCCTAGGGAGACTCCAGTGTTTCCCCTTTGAGCTCTCCTTGCTACCTAGCCTCTGGATCTGTGGGTGACAGCATGATTATCCTTTACGTTAAAGGTAATGTCTACTTGTAAGTGAGTACACACCATGCTTGTATTTATGGGGCTAGGTTACCTCACTCGGGATGATTTTTCTACTTCCACTCATTTGCCTACAAATTTTGATTTTTGGGTTTTTGTTTTTTGAGACAGAGTTTCTCTGAAGCCTTGAATGTCCTGGAGCTCACTCTGTAGACCAGGCTGGCCTCAGACTCAGAGATCCCCCTCCCTCTGCCTCCTGAGTGCTGGGATAAAGGTATGTGTCACCAATGTCCAGCAGGATGTTACCTTTTAACAACTGAGTAATACTCCATTGTGTAAATGTACCACATATTTCTCTGTTCGTTCTTTATTTTAGGGCCATGTAGGTTGTTTTCAGTTTTTGATTACAACAAATGAAGCTACTATGAACATATTTGAGCAAGTGTCCTTGTAGTGTGGAGCGCCCTTTGAGTTTGTGCCCGGTGATGGTATAACTGGGTCTTGAGGTAGGTGGATTCCAAGTTTTCTGAGAAACCACCATATTGTTTCCAAAGTGACTGTGCAATTTTGCACTCCCACCAGCAATGGAGGAGTGTTCCTCTTGCTCCACATCCTCGCCAGCATGAGCTGTCACATGTGTTTTTGATCTTAGCCATTCTGAAAGGCATAAGATGGAATCTCAGAGTTGTTTTGATTTGCATTTCTCTGATGGCTAAGGATGTTGAACATTTAAGTGTTTCTTGGCCATTTGAGATTCTTCTGTTGAAAATTCTGTTTAGTTAAGTAACCCATTTTTTTAATTGGATTTTTTGGGTTTTTTTTAGTGTGTAGTTTCTTGATTTGTTTATATATTTTCGAAATTAGCCCTCTGTCAGATACGGGGTTAGTGAAAATCTTTTCCTC